TGCGGAGCTGGCTGCGATTCCTGCCCTGGGCCCGGGAAAGCTGCCGCCAGCTCCCGGTGTGTGCGCGGCGCGGGAGCCGGGGTACAGGCCCCGCCAGGCAGGCCTGAGGGGGGAACCCAACAATAGGGAGGGGCAGAGGGGATAAAATTTCCCCCAGATCAGATGGGCTGAGCCAGCTGCAGTAGTTACAAAAATGCGGGGGAATGGGGCTTTTCCTCCCCCCTTTCCTAGGATTTTAGCTCCCATTTCGCAGGGCTGTATCCTTAAAGGTCCAGTGCATGGCAGTGCCCAGACAGGGCCGCTCTCCCTCCTCCCCATAAGTTGTTACTGAGCTGCTAAAGGAGACTTGATCCAGTGAAATATTTACAGGTGCCCCCACAAAGATCTCACTGTCACACCTGCTTCGAGTGTTTAAAGAATCCGGGTCTCAGTTCCCGTGTCTACGTAAAGCCGCCCAGCGCTTCATCCGTGTGTCCTGGCCACTGTCCTTGTTCCCCTGAGTTTCACTCCTCTTGGAATCCAGTCTGGGCAGTTTCACTCCTGTACATTAGTTTTTTATCAAAATATTATTTTTATTACTCTGAGCTCTTCATCCTAAACTTCATTAGCGTTGTGCGGAGGGATGTAATTGTGCCATGGAATTTATATTTGTAATAGCAAATCATCATGGGAAATATGAATAGTTGCGAGTAGCTTCAGAAATCACATCTCAGGGTGACACTGTAACAGTTCCTGTTTATATTGCAATGTTGTAATTTGAGTGCAGAGCTGACTGATTTCATGGGCTGGTCTGAAAACACCTTCAATTTCCTTTGCTGTAGCCAATTGTTATTTTGTCTCTCTATCCAGCACCCTAGTGCTTTATCCCATGTCCCATTTGTGTGTAGAACTTGGTTCCCAAATACTCACTAACTTCAGGTTGAAGGCACCTAGATACTTTGTAATATTTCACTAGTGGCTGAAATCCCTTTAAAAAATTTGTCCCTAAGAGGCCGTAGAGTGTCTCCTATACAGGGC